ATATGCGTTCATTGTTTCCAATTCATTGATTTGAAATATAATAATTTAACAGTATTCTAATATTTCCATAGTTATGAGGGGGAATGTTCCCCATCTTGCTGAAAGTATTATTTCACGTAAATTAGAACAAGAGACAGATAGCAGTATACTTTTAATAATTCTTTAGTTTCTTTTATTATCAATCATGGCCTACTAATAAATATGATCTTTTAATAAAAACTTTTAAATATTGCAGTAAATAGTGAAAATAAATATAGAGTGATATATATTTTTGAGAAGCTTATGGCAAGACAGATCATATGATTTATAAATATACAGGGTGTTTTCCATTTAAAAAAACATAACTTTTTTTGGTAGAAAAACAGACTACGCCACTGTATTCTACGTAAAAAGTTCTACAATAAACAGTTTTCGTCTTCTCGATAGCTTTAACAATAACAGAGATACAGGAGGTGTCCCAAATTGCAAAATTTTCAAAAAGACCCTGTAGCTCGGAAACGAAGAGTGCTATGAAAATGTTGTTTACGGCATCTTCCGTTTGACAAAAAAGTGAGAGAGGTTTGTGCAAACCGCACCCTTCTATCTTCACTAATAACGGAGATACCGTATGATTTCAACCAAAATGGGACACCCTGTACTTCGGTTAGAAAACGATATATGTAAATTAGTATTAGACAAACAGAAACGTTTTATTCTTGTCTAGGTACTGTAAAAAAGGTGTGTATTTTAATTATGTTATTACTGTTTTGTGTTAATGAAACACATCATTAATTTAAAGAATTTGCATATTGTGTGGGTGATATGCGTCATATCTGGAACGTCTATGAAAAATGTTTCAGATCATTTTCCTTTGATAAGAATAGTCCTTGTCTATTAATAGTTTGTCCTATTAATCTTAAATTAAACCTCTTTTTTTGGTTCCGTTTACAACATAGAATTTGCATAAGTGCATATTTTAAAACAGGTATTAAGAATGAACTTGGCAATCTTAAGGATATTTAAAAAATGCATTGTATGTGTAAATTCTGTTTACGTAATATTGATGCATAAATGTTGAAAAATTTCGAGTATTTTTTTTAATGTTCTATACCGTTTGATTAAAAAAATGCCTTTAGGTCGTTTCTGTTTAAATTTACAATCTTCGTGGATTTTTTCACGTGGAGTATATTATAAACATTTTGGCATGCCTCTAGACTAGGAAACTATTCACTTCATTTGTGACTCCTTTTAGATTAAATCTGAATTGCGATGATTTTCCTTACATGACATTTAGTAATAGGGCTTGTTTCTCTCTACAATTTCCTGTTTCACAATGTACCGTTTGTGTCCGGGAAGGGTTCATAGTTTCATAATTGTCGATTTTCGAAAGAAATCAGTACATGTATATTATTTGGTATATTTTTTATTTTATTGATTTTATGGAAAGAACTGTTCATTAAAATGTTGTATGTTGTATCCTATGTTATAGGGCTTGTTTCTCTCTACAATTTCCTGGTTCACAATGTACCGTTTGTGTCCGGGAAGGGTTCATAGTTTCATAATTGTCGATTTTCGAAAGAAATCAGTACATGTATATTATTTGGTATATTTTTTATTTTATTGATTTTATGGAAAGAACTGTTCATTAAAATGTTGTATGTTGTATCCTATGTTATAGGGCTTGTTTCTCTCTACAATTTCCTGGTTCACAATGTACCGTTTGTGTCCGGGAAGGGTTCATAGTTTCATAATTGTCGATTTTCGAAAGAAATCAGTACATGTATATTATTTGGTATATTTTTTATTTTATTGATTTTATGGAAAGAACTGTTCATTAAAATGTTGTATGTTGTATCCTATGTTATAGGGCTTGTTTCTCTCTACAATTTCCTGGTTCACAATGTACCGTTTGTGTCCGGGAAGGGTTCATAGTTTCATAGTTGTCGATTTTCGAAAGAAATCAGTACATGTATATTATTTCGTATATTTTTCACTATATTGATATTATGGAAAGCATTGCTCATTAAAATCTTGTATCCTATGTTATAGGGCTTGTTTCTCTATACAATTTCCTGTCTCACAATGTACCGTTTGTGTCCGGCAAGGGTTCATAGTTTCATAGTTGTCGATTTTCGAAAGAAATCAGTACATGTATATTATTTCGTATATTTTTTATTTTATTGATTTTATGGAAAGCACTGTTCATTAAAATGTTGTATCATAGGAACTTCAAAGGACATAAATTATTATTAAATTGAAAATTCAAAGAATAAAAAAAATAAAAATAATATTCAAAAATATTTAGTAGGTTTATAGTAAATATAGTAATAGCAAATATAAGACCAGTGTTTACAAGATCAAATTCGATTATCAAAATATAAATCATTTACGGCGTAGAAAGCCTTGTCTAGTAAATAAGATTTCAATGCTTTGCGAAATGAAGAAAACGATATTATGGTTTGATTTCAAATGGCAGGTGATTGTGCATTTTTTTCGAGTTGTATAATATTGAACTTTTAACTAACTCTGACCGTGGGGTAGGTAGATAAAGATCTTGCTCCGCGTTCTTGAGCGGATAAGTGTGAGATGGCCTTTCTTGAGAAGCTGATACATGCTTACGTATTAAGCAAACGGATTCAAATATAAATAAGAAAGGAAGAGTTAATATTTTTAATTCTTTAAAAAAGTCCTGGCAATGAGTTCTGCTGTTTAGTCCCATCAGTGAATATCGAACAGCTAGCTCTCTTCGGGAGCTTGAAACTGCGGTCAAATTGAGTCGCACAACACGTACCCCAGAATGGAAGGACATATCTGAGGTGCGACTTAAAAAAAGTGAATAATAAACAATTCTAGCCACTGACAAGTTAAGTTCCTTAGAAACAGATCTTAATGCAAAACAGGCAGAGCTTAATTTTTTCGACAAAGCGTCGATATTCATGTCCCATTTTAGAGAATTGTGTACAACAAGCCCTAAGAATTTTACAGATTTTACGACGTCAATGGTGGTGTTGTTAAGTACAAAAGGCTGCAGCGAGATTTCATACAATAAAGCTTTAGTTTTAGAAATGTTGAGACTCAGGAGGTTCGAATCGCGCCAAGATTTAATGGTGATTAAATCATTTGATATAATCCTATGAAGTGCCGTGGCGTCCTTCTTGCTCCAAGTGAAGCTAGTGTCGTCCGCAAAAAGACATATTTTACCACTGATGATTATGTTAGTAATGTCGTTAATTTACCTAAAAATTACCATAATAATACCATTACCTAAAATGTGTACAAGAATGCTACTTGGGTTAGCTATCCTTCTGTGAACTAAACTGTTGTTTTTATTTTTGGCGTTTTTCAATTGCCAGATTAAACAATATTATCAAAATTATTTTTGTTAGGCAAGTATAAGTCGGTGTCTTGGTAAATTATGACAGAACTTTTTGAGGCGTCCCGGTATTTTAGCGCCCTTAAAAACAGGGTTTATTGCGCCGGCAGGCCGCCACGAAAGGCCTCAAGAACGCGCCATTTTACGCTCTTCAAATCTCGCAGTAATAAACGCGAACTTTGAGCCGGCCAGAGCGCCTTTTCAGGCTCTATTCAAACGCGCTCGTTCCTCATTAACGTCGCTAAGGGCAGGTTAATTACTTTTTCGCTCTACATAACTGTTTAGTTTGCTTGTTTTCTAGTTTGTTTTCACGCAAAAACGGTCTTTAAGAAACTTTTTTGCTTATTTACTCCGTTTTGTTTTTTTTGGGTAACGGTCCTTGACAATTAACAAGTTTTTAACTCTCTCAGTTTAAAAGGTTTTTAGTAGATGTTTTTTTAAATAACCTTTTACTGGATTTTTTTTTCTTTTTTCGGTCATTTTTTTACTGGTTTATTATATTTTAGTTTGAATGTTTAATATTTATTTAAAGCTTTTTTTAAATATTTTGTAATTTTTTATTCTATAGCTGTTTAATGTGTTCATTTGCTTGTTTGTTTTCACACAAAAACGCAAAAAGTATTTATTTTGTTTTTGTTTACTCACACTACATTAACAGTTCTTTCATGCAAATTTTTATTTCTTTAAACTTGTTAGTTTGAAACATTTATTAGTAGATAATTTTATTAATTTTATTTTTTTGATAATATTTATTGCCTTTGTTTCATTTTATGTCACCAGATTCTTTTTCCTGGTTTTATTTATTATATTTTAGTTTGAATGTTTATTATTTATTTAAAGATTTTTTTTAAGTTTTTGTTATTTTTTATTCTATAGTTGTTATTTTATCACGTATTTATTCTGCTTTAGTTTAACTCTGTGTCAACAGTTCTTCAAAGATTTATTTATTTATAAACTTGTTAGTTATAAACAATTTTTAGTAGTTACTTCTTTTTACAGATTAGTAGTTACTTCTTTTCAAGTTATTTAATCTCATTATTCTTAATAATGTTTTTTTCTATTTAGAATAAGATTTATTTGCGTATGTATTATTTTATGTCAACTAGTTTTTTTCTGGTTTTGTTTAATACACATTTTCATTTAATTGTTTAATATTTATTTAAAAATTCGTTTTCTAAATGTATTTATTTAGTTTTTATTCTTAATTTTAATGTTTTTATATTTATAAACTTATTTTTTTATAAATAATTTTAACTTCTTTTAAATAATTTTAATTGGTATGATATGCTTTTCCATATTCTTTTTATATCTAATATTGGGTATTTGTTTTATTCCCTGTTTTTGATTCTTTGTCAATAAGATTTATATGTTCCTTTGATTTAATTAATATACTTTTAGTTTAAATTATGAAAATTTCTTTTTTATTTAGTTTTTTGTCACTTTTTATGCTATACTGTTTAGTTTGTTCTTTTCCTGCTTCATTATTAAAGTTACTTTCCTGTTTTATTCCTTGCAAGTAAGGTTTTTTAACATTATTATTCACCTAAAATATTAGATATTTTGAATATTTATTTCAGCACTATTATTTGTTTCTTCGTTGTTTTCATTTTAATTCTTGAGTGTTCAATATTGTTTTCTCTAATTTTAGAAGCGATGGTTATCTCGAAAAACGGTTCAGCCATTCATCCCTGTATTAAGGAGGTAATTTTCGTTGTAAGTGTAATAAATATTGTTTGTTTTTAAAATTGTAATGATTGTTTAACACGCACGAAATTTTATAGTAATAGAATTTAACGTCAAGCTTTTAGTTGTATGCTTTTATACGCTTAACTTCATGCAATTTTCTAATCTATATATGAGAAAATTGTTTATATTTTAGATGGAGATTTTAGTTAGAAATGAATATCAACTGAAATACTATACACTTTTTAAAATTAATCTAAACGTAAAAAGTTCTTGTTGTTTGTTTAATAATTTAATATGATAACACTGCGACTTGTAAAACCTATTGTGTATTGACACAATTTTCTCATTAAATATCGATTTTAGGTATAAGAAGTGCTTAATAAAACAAAAAGATTAAACAAAACTCTGTTGTTATGATACAAAATACAGGGTGTTTCATTTAAAATATATGTTGATATAAAAAATAAATAATCTTATTTTTACCTGAGGAATCTCCGCACGAGAGATGGCACATGTTTTTTGAAACACCCTGTAGATTACACCCAATTTTGAAAAATGTAATAAAGTAATTATCGCATTTGTCTTAAAACCATTAAATGCCTGAGTCTACGGATTTATAGATTATAATTGCATTAGCCAAAATAAAGAAATTAACGTTTTATTTTTTGGTAAAATTTAAATTTGGGTTATATTTAGAGCTTTTCGTGCGATTCACGGTTAATTTACAAAAGGTTGCCAACTTTGTAAAGTTTATCTAATGACGATTTCACACGAAGCTCGGTGCAAAACTTAAAAATTATTCCGTAAAGTTCAAGTGGTAATTTTGCATAAATAAGGCACAGTATAGAAAACTTTATGCGATTTCATCCAACTTGAGGTTTCTATATATTCAGTTTTATTTATTTCTTTTTCTTTAAACAGTCAGAACAAAGAGTATTTGATATCCTAAATAAAAAAGTACATAATCTGAATAACGATAAGGTTGTTTGAACTTCAGCTAGTGAACATATTAAGAGGTGTTTTTTTAATAGGATATACAGGTTTTTTTAAATTTGAAGTCTCCTGAGAATAAAATATCCAAATCGCAGCTTTATTGTTTCACAATAAGATATCTCGATTCGATTAAGATTATTTGCAATTAATAGAATCATAACAATAAATTCTTTCTGATCTAAGATAAGTTTCCATTATGGGCAAATTTCTGAGATTTGTTTTAATTTACACAAAATGATAACTAGTTGTTGAAATAACTAGTTGTTGACTTCAAAAATAATAAAGGTTGTGCTGATGAGATAGATACTGCTGGGATAAGATACCTAGTAGCCATTTGTGGTAATCATCGAAAACATATGTTAACTTATTAGACAATATAAGATACGATATGTTCGCCAAAGTACATACATACATACAGCCATTACTCGCTGACGAGTATTTGACACGCATCAGAAGATGGTCACGCAAAGCGTTTTCTTTCATGAGCTTTTCTGTGACTGACAAGCCCGATACATGATGTTATCTGCCTGCCTACCGCACTCCGGACATTCAAAAATCTCATTGCTTTGTTGCCTCTTTACTTTTTGGTTGTCGCTGTTAATTGAGTTTACAACTCTTCTCCGATGAGTTCTATTCTGAGCTGCTTCTTCCCACTCATTCTGCATGTTAATCCCCTTTAAGTTTTCGTGGAAAATGTCCTTGTACCTTTTCAGTTGTCCACCCGGCCTCCTCTTACCGTCTACAAGCTCACCGTAAAGCAGAGATTTAGGTATGCGGTTTTCTTGCATTCTGCATACGTGATCAGCCCATCTTAAGCGGGATTTTGTAACCATAACTTCAATACTCTCGCAGTTAGCTTTTTCAAGGACCGATACGTTTGAGACATGATGGAACCATTTTATTATTAAGAGTTGTCTAAGATGTCTCTGTTGCAACTTGTTTAATGCGTTCATGTGTCAGCGGTACGGCACCCAGCTTTCACTCCTATATAACATGGTAGGGATTATAATTGCTCGGTACACTGCAAGTTTTGTTTTTGTACACAAGTCATAATTGTAAAAAAAAGTTCGCCAAAGTAGCAGTCAAGACAAATATGAAAATACGGCTTGCTACCCATACCCACCATGAAGGAAGTAGCACCTCCAAAAAACTCAAGAACGTCACCTGCAAATGCTCTACGGAATGCCAAGGTCGTTGCAGTTTTCAGAAAGCAGGAATGAACTGTTCGGTGATCTGCTTTGAATGTAAAGGATATTCATGCAGGACGTTACAGATTACGGAGAAGATGATATCACGATCTTTGCCAAAATGTCAAACAAGTCAGTTTTGAAAGAGATTCATAAGCCAAATGTGACTGGCTATGGCTCCTCGACTTCAAGGCCTATTTGTAAGGATATACCATTATTCCTTGAAAAAGACCATTGGAAGAGTACTCTAAAAAATAAAAAGCAATTTTTGGTAAAACAACGCTGCATAGAATCCAAACGCAAACTAGCTAGTGAGTTACTTGTAAACCAAATTTGCCGAACACAACATTAGGCAAATTTGTTTTAGAAGTAAAAAATTATTGACAAGCTAGTTTCCGTCTGGTTTAGATCCAGTGGTATTTTACAAAAAAAAATTATTTTTTAGATTTCTATTTCAATGGCAAAATTTTTTCATGGATGAACCCGCCATGAAGATATAGACATTATCGTGATTGTAGCTTAAGAAGAATATTTCGTATATATTATGTAGTATTAGCAAAATTTAGTATACAATAATTTTAATGTTAATTAAATATACATGTGTATTAATTTAATTCAGAATACCACTTCTTAAGTAATTTCCTGGAGAATTGGACAGAACGCGAAATTTTTCAATTACCCCAGCACGTATTACTTGATGTAAAATGCTAATTTGATGCTCTGCAATTGTTGTGGTATGGTTTAATATATTTAGAATGATCATTTTCGCGTGATGACCGTTTAAATGTCACTTTAATGCGTTTATCAGCAAAATAAGTAAATTTGATCATTATTCATCTTTTGACTTCTGCCGTAGATCGAATTGAACGAATTGATACTCATCATACGCAGAATTTAATGGTCTTTAATTTTTGTAATAGTGAAATATTGGCTAGACCGCAATGTTTTGGAATTATAGGCGAAATTTTAAAGAAAGTTCAAGAATTTTACCATCTTTTGGTCCTCCTGAGTCGAGCGGCGGTCGAGCAACCGTGCAAAACTACGATACTTATCTTTCATGTCAACTGAACAAATTAAAACCATAATTAGCTTTCCTATACTTTTTACCAAGTGACCCCTATAATAGATCTTATTTGACTGGTCTACATGGGCTCCTACCAGTTAAAATACCTGCACATATTTCTGGGACACCCTGTATAACGGTTCTAGTTTAATTTGGTAAAATTCTGTAAAAATAGTATCTAACTAAATATTGAACTTAAAAACAATACATATTGAATTAAAAAGGTTGTTGACCACAAATACTGAGTGGAGTTTAACAACTAGATATTTTCTTTGTAGTAAAAGTAAAACATTGATTATATATAATTTCTTTTTTGATCGAGGCTTTGAGATTATGGTAAACAGGGCTTTATCGTTCATAAATCTTATACCTACTATCGTTAACTTGACCCCTAGGCGAATCAATTAAACTTCACCTAAATCTAGAGGTACGATAAATATAAGCAGGTCAGCTATAATTAGCCAAAAATCCAGTTGACACAACGGCACAAGGTAGAATACATTAGTATTTATTAATTTCTGAAATTTAGTCGGAATAATTTTATTTCGAAATGACAAATTTCTTCCTTTTTGGCTTTAGGAAAAAAATAACTTTGAATAAAATCGAATTATTTATGGAAATTCGGATAGTGTTTCGGAAATTATTTACTAGGAAGTGTATTTTTAAGGTAATAGCACGTAATAGTAATTTGGTCTGTCCTATTTCAGGAAGAAAAAACTATCTACGAGTACACCTAAAAGAATTAAAGACAAAATTATGTTTGTTAGTCTTTAAGAGTCCATTTCACTAGTCCGAAAAAGTATCAAAATTAGCGTTCGACATTTAACGTTTTATGTAAAACTGCCTAAGTAGTTTTACACAAATGAAGAAGGAAATTAAAGATAAAGGATTATACTATATCCGTATTGTAGCACATTTTTAGACAACTTCTTTATTTTTAAGATTTTCATGGTTAAACATCAAAATATTCCTTATGTTTGGACTAAATTTTCTCGAAAATCAAGACATAATTTAAAATTCCGTTACAACACGGAAATAGATTGAAGTTTTGTGATTACAGTGATATACACTCACCGGCAAAAAAAACCGGCCACTAAAAACTAGTCCCAATTTCAAATTTGGATTTCTCGCGAACCACTCATTAGATTTTGATGATTTTTTTTTTCAATTGTAAATTAATTCCTTCTTAACGGATGCTACGTCAGCAATTTTTATTCCAAATTTATTTTGAGTATATACAGGGCACAACAATAAGACGAAGTTTTTTGTCCAAACTTTGTAACACCCTGTAGGGTGCAGCAACTGTAGTAGCTATTGCTAAATCAAATCACATTGTAGCGTCATCTTTTGTGAGCATTTTATTTTTTTAATCACGACATTATCTCTGTTTGTATTGGAGATACGCTGCTTTAAAACAAACGCCTCGAAAAAAGCTTTAAAATCAAATCAAACATCACAACGTAGACGTAAACTAACTAAAACATGAAAATTAAAAAAAAAAAGGTAAAGAAATTTAAAGGGACTAATATCTAGTATCCACTCTTGTGAAATTTCCCGTTTCCATATACCGATTCCAGGCATCCTGGACTGTTGTTCGAAATATACCCAGGGTATTGGAGACAACGTTGAGTTCGGCCATCCTCAATTAAAGCCACAATACGAGCAACATTTGTTACATAAATCCGTTTTCACCTATGTCGCCTTGATTATTTACACATAAAACTTTCTGCCTTTTCGGAGATGAATTCTGAATTTTTCCGAGACGTTCGTTTTAAAACGGCATA